ACGCCGTAAAGGAAGAAGAGGAACGAAGGACCAAGTCTTAGTAGACAAAGCTTCATGAGAAGACACGCCGTCCTTGCAATAGCTTGGATAGATTACAGAAAGGGATATGAAATGGGGCCTCGTAGTTGGAGAGCGGAATGCCTGTTGTTATTTGGAGTTGGAGCAAATGTGCGCAATTTTCTCGTAGATGGCATGGGGGGTGGGGGTGGGGCATGGAAAGCAGAAGTGACATTTTCAGGTCACTAGATGCGCAGTTCAAGAGAGATATTTTTCAAGGGGACAGCTTTTCTCCTCCGCTGTTCGTGTTATGCATGGTTCCCATGATATTGCTTTCGAGAGGGATAAGAGCTGGGTATGAAAAGATTAAAATCAACCGTCTTCTGTTCATAGACGGTTTCAAATTGTTTGGGAAATCTCACTAAGGAAACAGTGCAAACTGTAAACACATTTAACCAGGACATCGGGATGGAGTTTGGATTAAAGAAATATGGAGTTTTGATGATGAGAAATGAGTGTACCGTGATAATGAATGGAGTGACATTACCAGATCGATAGCTAATGAGTGATATATGAAAATGGGTATAAGCATTTAGAGGTCATAGAAGTGGATGAAATCAAGGAACAAATGATGAAGGACATATTTGCAAACGAATATAAGAGATGACTGAAATAAGTGTTAAAATCAAAACTTAATGGCAAGAATGAAATCTTAGGCATGAATACATGGGTTGTCGCAGTGTTAAGGTATAGTGCGGGAATAATAAAATGATTACTTAGAGATCTGAAAGAGTTGGACAGAAAGACGAGAAAGGCATGACTATTCATGGAGCATCACACTTAAAGAGTGATGTTAATATTAATGATATGTCAAGAGAGAAAGGCTTATAAGCTGCGAGGAATGAAGAAACCAACTTAGGTTCGTATGTAAAGAATTCATGTAAGCAGTTAACTGCAGGTGTAAAAATAACGAATGTAAAGATTGAAAGCACAAAAGACAAGGTTTAATTTAAGGAATGAAAACCTAAAGCAGAAGGAGAGGAGAAGGTATGGCCATTTCACAAGAGAAATGCCCGACACAACAAACAGCGAGGTAGCTTGGAAAGGGTTAAGGAATTGAGACCTGAAGGTGGAAACGGAAGCGATGATATATGCAGCCCAGGAGCAGGCACTTAGTACGAATTAGGTCAAGTATAATATTGACAAGACAGCTAACTCCCCGTTGTGCAGTATGCGTGGTAAAAAAAAGTGAAAACGATGAACATATTGGTTGAGAATGTAAGAAATTGATTCAGAAAGAATACAAAAGATGGTATGACAACATTGACCGGAATGTATATTGGAAGATTTGAAAAAGACTAAATTAAAGAGAATAGAAAAAAAATGTGTTATTGAAAATGAGGAATGTAAGGTTTTGTAGGATGCAAGTCTTCAGTGTGACCACATAATCGAAGCAAGACGACCAGACATTGCTGTATTTGAGAAAGAGGAAAGAAGAATTGTATGATAATAGATATCGCTGCTCCAGGGAATAACAGGATACATAAAGAGGAAGAGGATAAAATTGAGAAACACCAACATCGTAAAGGAGAAATTGCTGGGCTGTGGCAAGTACAGAAAGTTGATGTGGTTCAGGCAATCTTTGATGCGCTGGGATGTGTGACAAAGAATATCGAAAAGTGGAAATTGGGAATCGCAATAAGAACAGAGTTGTTACAAAAGGCGGCATTACATGGAACAACAAGGATAGTGAGAAAAGTACTTGAAACCCAAAGTCTACACAAAAGAGCCCACAGGGAATTTTGGTCATGGTCATGACCCGTTCCCCAAGGGAAATTATTCGGTGTAGGGAGCGTCCCTCTATTATATGGGTGCAAAGAAATAATGGTAATAGTAGTGACAATAACGATGATAACAACAATAATATAATAATAATAATGATAATAATAATAATAATAATAATGATAATAATAATAATGATAATGATAATGATAATAATAATAATAACAACAACAACAACAACAACAACAACAACAACAACAACAACAACAACAACAACAACAACAACAACAACAACACCAAAACAACCACAAAACAACAACAAAACAATAATAATAATAATAATAATGGAGAAGTCAAAGAACATAATAATTACTACTATTATAAGAACTATCATTTCTCCATCTCTATTACATAATCATCCTGAACCATCTCTCTGATACCAAATATCACGAACAACACATCGAAAAAACAGAAGAAAACCAAACTACACTAATTGGTAGGCATAGGCCTCTGCAACAAAATCGGCCCCGTCACTGTCCCTTCCTCACGTCCCACAGTGTTAAAAGGAGCGAAATAACACGCGCATAGGACCTTCCCTCCCTTGTAAATGTCGCCTTTGTCAGTCGCCCTCGAGATAAGGAGAACGCAGTGACGTCTTCCCTATAATTGTAAACGCCTATGTCTTCCCTAATGAGCAAAGGAGATGGCCTGTTTAACATGT